TTCCACTGAACTCCACACCCCAAGCCCAGTAAAGTTGGTTTTTGTTCATTTTTAAGAAGCAGCTCTAGCTAGGTATACTGGCACAGGGTTCTCATACCAGCATTCAGGAAGCTAAGGCCTGTCCGACAACATTCCAGGTCAACCTGCACTGTAATTTTGAGACCCTGTCTCATAAAAAGCACTATTTCTATCCTGTCAAAAACACTTTCAAATTTTATAGAGAAGCAGTCTTTATGAGCACATTCTTCTGGTCTTAATTCAGCACAATTGTGGCATTTGTGCTTGTGTGTTTAATAGACACACGGACCATGAAGTAAAAGATAGGGTAAATTTGATGTCTCTAGAGGGTTGTTTCTGTTTTTGTTTTATTATCAGTTTTGCAGTTACTTGTTCTCCCTAATCTAGGAGGTTGTGATTGATTGTGGTCTCCTAGGATTAAGGAGCACTGGTAGAAGAGCCTAGAGTAGGGAGGAGGGAAAAGACAGAATCCCACAACCCAAAAATTCAGTTACCAGACTGTGACTGAGTAAGAAGAACTGGTGGAGCAAGATTTACTTCAGAGCCTTGTTTGGCCACTTTGGAAAGTGAACAATCAATTGCTTTATTTTTCTTTTTTGATCTTTTATTTATATTCAATTTTTAGAATAAAGTTGAAATGCATTTTAATGCTCATAACAACTGGACTGTAATACACTTGAAATGGAATGGTGAACTGAGCAAGTATCCAGTCTTTATTTCATCAATAACAGCAGGGCAATGTCTGCCTTAAGAATTGTCATAATTTGGCTGGGAACGTAGCTTAGTGGTAGAGTGCTTGCCTAGCATGCATAAAGCCCTGGGTTGGATTCCGCAGTGCCATAAAAATAGAAAAATTTGGAAGTGGTGCTGTTGCTCAAGAGGTAGAGCGCTAGCCTTGAGCAAAAGAAGTCCAGGCCCTGAGTTCAAGCCCTCGGACTGGCAAAAAAAAAAAAAATTGTCACAACTGAATGATATTTAATATATACGAAGTCCTATAGAGTCAGTAAATATTAATTCTGAAGCAAAGTTCACTATCATCCAAAGAAGCCTGATTCTGAAGTGGTGAGTTAGTTTTTTAGTGACCTTCCTCATCAAAGGATAAAGTGTGGCTGCCTTAATCCATTCAAGCTTCTGTTTCCAGATGCTATAGACTGGAGTTTCTTTAGCTTGGTTTGGAGGCTGGGGATTTTAGGATCAAGGCACTAGCAGATTTGGTGTCTGATAAGTAAGGGTCTATTTTGAGGTCATTGATAGTGTCATCCAGCTATGTCCTTACCTGATCTGATAGAAAGGGGCAAGGCAGCCCCCTCTGGGGCCTCTTTTGAGGACAGTAATCTCCTAATGGGTGTTCTGCTCTTAGGACCCAATCAACATTAAATGCCATGACACTGGTGATTAAGATGCAACATAAATTTTGCAGGGACACATAGTAATGACATTCTAGTTGATGTAATCCTCTTGAGAGATTGAATAGTTTTAAGTCAGTACTAGGTTCAATTTCTAACCTTGCAAAGCTAATACTTAACCCTAGAACCTAATGTCAGTGCAGAAGTTTTTATACTTCTTAAAGACTACACTTTATAACATTCTAGTTTGTCTTTTTTGGCAAAATCCCCCCACATTTTACAGTTTAAAAATACATAGATAGAACTCTATAAATGGCAACCACACTCAGAATAGTGTAACATAAGGTTCTGCCCAGATATATTTTTGGTTGTGGGTAATGAATCATATAATTGGATCCAGTAAAAATACTTTGGTGAAGAGTCAAAATAGACTGAATTTGAAGCAGGATAAAAGAAGGCATATTAAATCTTTTTTGCCCAGTACCAAATGGTCAGTCACAGCTGTATTGTATGTAATTTGAGCCAAAAATAGAAAGGCTTCTGTAGAAGGTATAGAGAGCATTCATTTGAAGTGGATGACATTTTCCACAACACTTTTATTTGCCAAGCTCAGTACAGAAACATCTAGTTAATACTGCATTAGGATTGAAGTAAATTACAATATGAAAATGTAACAAGTTCGAAGGAAAATGAGCTTTGAAATGAGACCTAGAAGCTCTAGCTGGCTGTGACCCCTCAAGTGAAACATCTAAGAGAGCTGAATACCTTTGTTACTGAGACCGGAAATACCTTGCTGTGGAGTCCTTCCTGGAACTCATCAGTATGCACAAACAACCATAATGAATCATCATTCACAAATTTGTTGAATGATTTTTGTTTTGTTTTGTTCTTGTCAGTCATGAGGCTTGAACTCTGGGCCTAGGCTCTATTCCTGAACTCTTCAGCTCAAGGCAAGCATTCTACCACTTGAGCCACAGCACCACTTCCAGTTTTCTGGTGGTTAATTGGAGATAAGAGTCTCACAGGTATTCCGGACTGGATTTGAACTGTGATCCTTAGATCTTAGCCTTCCTGAGTAGCTAGGATTACAGGTGTGAGCCACCAGCACCAGGCTCTGTTGAATGTTTTATTTGTATTGTGTGAGTCTCATAAATGCAAGGTAAGGTGATTGTATAAAACAAGAAAATGAGCAAATGAAATGGTCTAGGAATGGGAGTGGGGGAGTGGAGGAAGCAGGGAAGGAGTAGTTACTGCTCATCTCTAGTCAGTTGTTGCCCTGGGAGGATACTATGTGCTAGGAAAGTGCTATACCACTTGTTATACAGTCTGATTTATATACAGCAGCTATTTATGTTGTAAAGCATCTGGAAAAAGTAAAGCTGGAGTTTTACAGGTGATAAAGATAGGCAATAAGGATTAGTTTTTATTATTGTGCAGAAATGTAATTGGAAAGGTAAATTACTGTTTTTAGTCTAAGGTTTACTTATTGTGATTCTTGATAATGCCTTGGTTTTCCTTTTCATAGCTTCAAATAGCAATTGTATTCATTAAATTTTTGTATTCCTTATTAAACTTTATGCTTAATGTTTGCGGGGAGTCATAATGATGATTATTAGTGATTACACAGAGGAAGTCTATAGAATGTTTTTTGTTATTTGGTTTGGTGATTTGGGGGGTGGGGATAGTACTGGGAAGGGTTTCACACTTGTTAGGCAGGCACTCTACTATTTGAGCCATGCCCCCAGCCCTTGGAATTTTTCTTTTTAAATTTATGACAGTGGAGTACAGACTTTCTGCCCTTTCTTCCCAACCCTACCCCAAGAGGCAGCTATATCTGCCTTGCACGTCATATTAAAGATTTATAAGATTAAATACTTAGGAGCTTATAACTATACTTCAGAATAGTTTTTATTTACTTTGTTTTTGCTTATGTGGTGCTGAGGAATCGAACCCAGGGCCTCATGCATGCAATGCAAGCACTTTACCACTGAGCCACCTTCCTAGCCCCAGAATAGTTTTTAAAATGAAGGCTGAAGTATATTCTTGAGTATATCTATATCCTTAAGTATATTTCCTAGGATAATTAATTATGATGTATATAAGGAGTTAGTTTTTAATTTATAACTTTGCCCTTGCCCAGTTTTTTTTTCTTTTTACTTATGTGGTGCTGAGGAATTGAACCCAGGGCCTTGAGCATGCAAGGCAAGCGCTCTACCACTGAGCCACCTTCCCAGCCCTGCCCTTGCCCAGTTTGATTGTTCAGCAGACACTACTACTTAAGCTACTTAAAAGTATGCCTTCAGTCCTGCTCTTTGCTAGCTTTTTGTTTGTTTGTTTTTGTTGGTCATGGGGCCTGAACTCTGGGCCTGGGCACTGTCCCTTAGCCCTTCAGCTCAAGGCTAGCACTCTACGGCTTGAGCCACAGCACCACTTCTGGCTTTTTTCTGCTTATGGGGTGCTGAGGAATCGAACCCAGGGCCTCAGGCATGCAAGGCAAGCGCTCTACCACTGAGCCACCTTCCTACCCACTTTGCTAATTATTTTGGAGACAGATTCTCATGGATTTCCCTGTCCAGGCTACCTAGGATTACAAGTATGGACCATTGGTGCCCAGCTTTTCTAACTTAAAAATATTAAAATAAAATTATTGTAGTTTCACAAATTTGTTAAAAAAAATTTGAGTGTTTCAGCACTTTCGTGATTTATTCTATCCATAGGGTTTGAAGATAAGTTCTGTATGGACAATAAAAGTAACCTTTCCCTTTTCTTTTTTTGATGCTGTAGTCCTATGCCAGGCTTAGACCATCTTGGATCCTCTTTTTATGGGGATGTTAATGGGAAGTAATGGAAGAACTTTGTCTTGAAATTGGGTAGCATTGCATTCCAGCTGATTTTCTGTATTTTAACAACCGTATAACCTTTGACCAGTTAATAGCCTTTTTCGATTGGCTTAGAGTCATCTCTGGGGTTAGTAACAATCTCTGAGCTATGTTAGTTTTAAAATAAACCATGGTGCTGCCTAGACTGTTGTACTCAAAACTAGTGCCATCACCACCATATAGTTTTTGGTGCATCTAGTAACCAGATTTATTCACCTTTTGCTCCCAGACTCTGTGTGTGTGTGTGTGTGTGTGTGTGTGCGCGCGCGTGCATGCGTGTGTGCGTGCGTGCGTGCGCGCGCACATATGTGCATGTGGCCTCAAGCATGTTAGGCAAGTGTTTTACCACCATATTTTCTGCCCTTGTTTGTCAGTTATCCTTTGTATCCACTCAGTTCCCACACCTTTTCGTTAATTAACACATTTTCAGGATGTATTCTTAAATATCTGTGCTACATGTTTGTTCTTTCTTTGTCTTTGTACCAGTGTTTTGTTATCATTCATTTTCTGAAATTCCACTTTCCATATTTTTTCCAGTGATAACATTCTTTCTGCTTCTAAAAGGGTTTTAGTTTGGCATCTGCCAGTTTGTCCAAAGTTCAAACTTTAGAACCTTTTGTTCAGGGTCAGCTGTTTCACATAGCAAATACTGAGAAGCAAAGATGACATATATAAATGGTTCTCTATGACATTGCCCAAATGGAAGCTAGCGAGCCAATTTTTAATCATAATTATTTCATTTTCTATTTGCTCCTAGGTTTTTAGAACTTCAGCTATCAAAATGGGAAGAATTTTCCTTGATCATATTGGTGGTACTCGCCTGTTTTCTTGTGCAAACTGTGATACGATCCTCACCAACCGCTCAGAACTCATCTCCACCCGGTTTACAGGTGCCACTGGTAGAGCATTTCTTTTTAACAAGGTTGGTAAGAAAAAAATTCCATTCCTAAATTAAATGGCTATATTTGACAGCAACACCAGAGTACCCTCCTTAGAACTGCAGATACCGAGAAGAGCCAGAATGAGCTTAAATCTATAGAATTGATCGCTCACTGCTTATGTTATCTGTTAGGAGACCTTATGAAGCATTAGTAGAAAGTGACATATATTTGCCATACTAGGGACTGAACCCAGGCCCTTGTGTATGCTAGGTAAGCATTCTATCACTTGAGCTATACTCCCAGTTGTTTTGAGAACCTTGCTGTTAACTTTGCCTGTACTGGCCTCAAACCTGTGCTTCTCCTGTCTCCTGAGTAGCTGGGATTACAAGCATGTGTAGCCACTCCTAGTTTGGAATGTAACTTCAAAAGGATTAAAGAGTTCCTTACATGAAGAATTATGTGTTTCCCTTGAGCTTTACTTAAATACAGAACAGGGGTTATGCTGCAGCAGGCTAGCCATCTATTTCTGAAAATAAAATTTGCTGTTAATGGGCTGGGAAGGTATCTCAGTGGTAGAGTGCTTCCCTTGCATGCATGAGGCCCTAGGTTCGATTCCTCTGCACCATATAAGTAGAAAAAGCCAGATGTGGTACTGTGGCTCAAATCGTAGAGTGTTAGCCTTGAGCTGAAGAGCTGAGGGACAGTACCCAAGCCCAGAGGTCAAGCCCCACAACCAAAAAATAAATGAGTATTGATATAAAACAACCATACCTGTTCATTTATATATTATCTATTGCTGTGTTGACACTACAGTACCAGAGTTAAATAGTTCCAGTAAAGTCCTGAGAGCCTTCGAAGCCAAAAATATTTAACATCTGGTTGCAGGAAAGTAAAGTATAGAGGATTGTTGGTTATTTAGAATCATTAGAAATTCATCACAGACTGTCTTAGAACCCACTTCCCTGTGGTCATTGTCCTTGAACTTATTTGAAAACTGTTTTTGCACTGAGTAGTTTAATAGGCTAAGTATCCTGATCTAATTTTTATATAAAACTTGTTCTCAGAAACATATTCGACAAACATTTTCTGGAACATGGATGGTGTAATATGTTCTTTTGCATCTATTTATCTGCAGTTATAATCATTAAATACTATACAGTAGTAGTTGGACTGAATCCTACATTTTGTGACTCCCAATTCCAGGACGTTTTTTTTTTTTCACTACAATACAAAAATACAACTAGCTTGTGTATAAATAGTATAAAATGGCTAGTACAACAAGGCATGGTTCCATTAGATGACCAATACAGTGCAATTGGCAATGTTTATCTCTCCTAGCAACATGAAAAAATCAGCTGTTGAGAAGGGTATTATGGGTTTGACTGAAGTAGCAACATCTGTTTTCTGTTCTGAAGTCGATGTTACTGCACCAACCATAATAGTGTGTACTTACTTGACAAATAACATACATGCCTTTGCCATTCTCTTTCTGTATGTTTTTTAGGTAGTTAATCTGCAGTACAGTGAAGTTCAAGATCGAGTCATGCTCACTGGCCGCCACATGGTTCGAGATGTGAGCTGCAAAAACTGCAATAGCAAACTGGGATGGATCTATGAGTTTGCCACTGAAGACAGCCAGCGTTATAAGGAAGGCCGTGTGATCCTGGAACGTGCTCTAGTTCGAGAGAGTGAGGGCTTTGAGGAGCATGTACCATCAGATAACTCTTGAAGAAAAAGAGATAAATCCATCTTTTCCCAGGTTTCCTTCACTGAAAACAAATCTACTTACATACACTGTCACCTTAGCATCAGAGTCGGATTCATGAACTGCGGAACAAGAGGTTGTGAGAATCTAAGATGGAACCTTTCTCTCTTTTTTTAATTTTGTATTTTCCATCCAACAGCAGTGTGTAGAGAATATGATGCACATGCCATTAATTTTTTCCCTTCGTTTACATCTTGAGGCAGAAGAGTCTCTGCAGCTACATGGTAGGCTATGTGAGGAAAAAAATTGGGGCTATTAGAGTGGAAAAAGTGTGTTTTATGTAAACTTTGATGGAGAATATGTCAAGAGCATGGTTTTAAAACTTATTTGGGCTTCATTTTAAAACTTTTTTTTAACCCAGTTATTTCACTTGATTTGCTAGCTTCAGAGAAGAGATCCGAATCTGTGCCCAGCGCTAAAGGCTCAGTGTTAGTATGGCTTGTGCTGGCCAGTGTGCCATATTCTTGTTGGAGATGAACTGTAGCACCAGAGCCCATTTTTTCTTGTCAGTCTTGACCCAAAGATGTCACCATTCCCAGTTGCTTGTCACCACATAATTGGTGTTGATTGGAAATTTTTTTCGAAATGGGGCAGAACTGCTTGGTTGTCTTTTTCCATGTAACTTAAGCATAGTAATATAAATAAAGTAATAGTTGGATGTTTTTGGTCCTGTGTTGCTTTTAAAAACACCTTACAGAAGAGCAGAGTATTTGATAAGTAACTTTTATAGTAGTTAAGTGCTTTTTCCATATCTTACACTAAATTGAGACTGTAGAGGATATTTGTATAAATGAAAGTATACTGTTTAAATACCCACAGTATTTCGAAAACAGTTGGACGGAACATCGGTGTATATCCATGCAGAAAGCCTTTAATCTGCATCTGTTTTAGAAGGAGGGGCAAAGCATTTTAACCCCTCAGTTTTTCATTGACATTGAGGTTTACAGATCCTATATGTTTTCACCCAAAGGTCTAGATCTCATATTAGCCTTACCTTTTTTCAGATCTTCCCTTAAAAGTTCAGTTAATTGGCTTTGAACTGTACTTGGTACTCTCAGGTGAGAAGGGGTCGTCAAATTTGACTCAGGGTGTTAGCCCCAAATTTTATGACATTATAAAGTATTAATGTGTAAGTATTTCCTTGTCCAAACTGCTAGGATATACTAGGTATCCTAGTATTTGCTTTTGGAACATCTGACAGCAAAAATGGCTAATTGTCAAATGAGTGCATGAATGTTTGCATGTTCAGTTTTCAAGATGTCTAGAAAGGAAATTTGCTTCCGTTGAATTAGTGAAAGCTTTCTGTCATTGATATTAGTGACTTCTGAGTACAGTTAAGCTTTGGGCTCTTGGTTAGAGGCATTAAGTAGGTATAGTATAATATTGCATTTGAAGTAAGTTGGACACAGATTGTCTCTGTTCTGCGATAATGAATGAAATCTTGAAGCCTTGAGAAACAGCATTCATTTCCATTGATTTCCATACTGGCCTTTGGTGAAATGCAGATACCTATACCTAGAAGCATGCCTTACCTACAGCACTGTGTGCATTTGCTGTCAAAATAAAGTATATTTTGTCTTGCATTGGTGCAATACTGCTAATTATTTCCCACTGATCTTATTAATGATCATTTTTTAAAAATCTCTGAACAAACACTCCATGCCTTTGAATGGCTATTGCTTTCTGTGCTTGGAAGTGATAAAATGACCATTCTTTGTTAACTCTGCCTAAGTTATGCCAAAAATATTTTGAGTTTGCCCTTATTAACTTCTCTGAGGTCATTTTGCCTTGGAGATAGACAACTATAGTTTGGTATATGAAAAAGTAATTACAAATGTCACATACTAGGTTATATTTTAGGTGACTAGCAGGTACAGCCATAAGCTTTCCTCTATACATTCCTTTAAAAACTTGAATTTGCCAGGCACTGGTGGCTCTAATCTGTAATCTTACCTACTCAGGAGGTTGAAATCTAAGGATAGCAGTTCAGAGTCAGCCCAGACAGAAAAGTCCCTGAGACTCTTATCTCCAATTAAGCAGCAAGAAGTTGGAAGAAGTGTGACTCAAGTGGGAGAACACTAGCCTTTAGTGAAAAAGCCAAGCAAATGTAGAAGGACAAGTTTAAGTCCCAGTACTGGCATGAAATACATATATGTATACATACACCATACACCATTATTTGCTCGGTTTGGAAGTATAGCTCAGTGGTAGAGCACTTGCCTAGCAAGCATGAGGCTCTGGTGTGGATCCTCTAGCACAGTCACAAAATAAATTTAGATATCGGGGGCTCCCGTCAGATTATTTACTGAAAAACAAACATGGGAATGATTCTGCTTTGGGGTGAGTTAACTGGTCAAATGCAGATGAACTTACTGCTTCAGGTATGAATTACTGAAGGGAATACAAAGTAAATATTTTTCCTTTAAAAAACTTTTAGAATTCTGGGCTGGGAAGGTGGCTCAGTGGTAGAGCGCTTGCCTTGCATGCCTGAGGCCCTGGGTTCGATTCCTCAGCACTACATAAGCAAAAAGAAAAAAGGCGGAAGTGGCTCTGTGGCTCAAGTGGTAGAGCGCTAGCCTTGAGCTGAAGAGCTGATGGACAGCGCCCAGGCTCAGAATTCAGGCCCCACGACTGGACCCCCCCAAAAAAAAAAAACTTTTAGAATTCTTACTAGTTTTAGATGACAGTGACCATAAGTTTTATTTAAAGAGGCCCTGATGTGAGTATTCTGGGTTAAAAATAATGTTAATAATGTAATGATTTTAGAGACAGTCAATGGTAGCTTATTAGGGTTGGAAAGAAAAACAATGTCAGTACAGTTTGTTTTTTAGGCCTGGTTGTGGGGCCTGAACTCTGGGCCTGGGCGCTGTCCCTCAGCTCTTCAGCTCAAGGTTTGCACTCTACCACTTGAGCCACAGCGCCACTTGTGGCTTTTTTTTTTCTTTCTGCTTATGTGGTGCTGAGGAAGTGAACCCAGGGCCTCAAGCATGCAAGAAGCGCTCTACCACTGAGCCACCTTCCCAGCCCTGTCAGTACAGTTTGTTTCCTAAATTTACCTATTCATAAATATCACATGGGCTGTATAAATTGCTGAGTATAGATCTCAGCATTTGATGTAGCAGAATCGAAAATTTCCAGTTGTAAAACATTCAGAGATGTGTATGCAGTTCCAAACATTTCCAAAACTCAGTTTTATCAGATACATACTAATTACTTGTGTGTTTAACACCTCCTTCCCACCAGGAACCATATAAAACTTCTGATCTTGAGGAATTGTGAATTGGGACTAAACAGTAGGATTAAGCTGAACAAAACCTCCCTGTTAGGATAACACTTTGCAATGATAAGGTATTTACTATAGGAATAAAGCAGAGGTAAGTAGATATTTGGTGGACACTCATCCTTAAATTAGATGTTGATTGTATTGCTTTTTATTTTTATTTTTTTTATTTTTTGGTCCGGTTGTGGGGCCTGAACTCTGGGCCTCAATGCTGTCCCTCAGCTCTTCAGCTCAAGGCTAGCGCTCTACCACTTGAGCCACGGCGCCACTTCCGGTTTGCTTATGTGGTGCTGAGGAATCGAACCCAGGGCCTCAGGCTTGCAAGGCAAGCACTCTACCACTGAGCCACCTTCCCAGCCCTGTATTGCTTTTAAAAAAAATATAGGCTTCCAAAATTGTATAGTAGGGCATAAAACACATTTCAAAGTATTGGGTGATTCTGGACATTTAGATTTTTCTACAACAGGACTACCTACAAAGCATGTTTAATATATGAACTATGTCCCTACCAGTTCACCCCACCCCCCAAGGCATGAATGGGCCTCTGAAATAGATTTTAAAAATCCAAAGGGTTTTTTTTTTAGCCAGATCCAAAAATAACATCTAATACAGGAGTTACATTTTAAAAGTTGTTCAAAATCAAAATAATCTATTCTTGTGATATGTGATATGTTATTCTGTGGTAAAACATGTAATTAGGCCCAGAAGCTCAGGTGTGGATAAGAAAAAACAGATTACTATGTTTTCTACTTGCTTAAAGTGACTCATAAGTCAGCTAAATACAAGAATTACAAACTGTCTTTAAAGAGTAAAAAAGGCTCTGAGAAAGAGGAATCTAGTTTCTGGAAAGATTAGAAGATATAAAAATCTAAAGACCTGTCCTCAATGGTGACTAATTGAACTGGCTTTGTAACTTTGGGAAGTCACTTCTGAAACTTAGTTCTCTCAAGGGTGAATGTGAAAACAAGCCTTGTCTTAAGTGATTCTTATTAGAATATCTTGAAATATAGGTCATACTCTCCTGTTAAGTATTATGCAAATTTATGGAATAACTAATCTTAAAACCCTGAACTTGACAGTTTAATATGATTTAAGTTAGAAAGTAACCAGAATGTTTTGAAAGTTCTTTGGATTCTTCCTGGACTTGACACATATTACTGGGCATGAAATGCGCACTTTATCATGTCATCTTGACTTTGGGCTATGAGAACTCTTTCATAATCTACTGCAACCAATGTTTTATGTTGCTTTCAAAATCTTCAGAGCTCCTATATTTCTCCTGTCATAGAGAAAAAAAAAAGAAAGAAAAGAAAAGGCCCACAGAAACGGTCATCGAATACCAACAACCTCACTGTGAAATAAAGCCACCATTTTTTCCAGACAAGGTAATTGAGAAGAATCTTGCAAGAATTCTCACTAATAGCTACTGACTAGAGTTACTTTTAAAACCCAGTTTTCTTTATCTCAGTGCTTCATGCCACTGTTGTAAAGATAGTCTAGTATTTAAAGACTCCCAGGGTGAGAAGTGGCTTCTATACCAAAGTTTCTTATTTTAATTCTCTTCTGATTTTTCCTAAAAATGGACAAGTCCTCTCTTGTCCTTGGATTTAAAATGAAATATAGGCAAACTCCATCTTGTAGTAGCAACAAGCCTGTATCCAGAGCAAATTTGAAGACGTAGTTTTGTTTGGGAATCTTACTGTGTCCCTATAGATGGACCAGAGGTTTTCTGGAACTGGTGTTCCCTCATACTTCTAAGTCAGGAGGTTGGCTTCAACTGTTGCCCAAATTTTACTCCTGCCACCATCAGCATCTAGCCCTGTCTGCCCCATCTTGGACAACTCATTGTATCCTCATTATAGTGAACTTGTAAAAATTCAGTGAGTTTTCTGTCTTCAGCTAAGCCATCATCCTTCCCCTAATTTCAAACCAGAATTTTCAGAGATGCTCAGAAGCATTTCTGCAAGCTGCATTATATACAAAGCAATCTAAAGTATTCTGACTGTCTCTAAAATCAGTACATTATTAACATTCTTTTTAACCCAGTTTCAAAGATGTAGGAGGGGATACGTCTTTAAGGACCTGAGTAACAAGGAGTAAAATTGTTCAATTTGGCCTGTTGAATTGACACTGAAAATTGAATGTCAATAACATGAACTATAGCCAGAGCTCACACTGCTAGAGAAGTACCAGTAGATGGCATGAGAGGACACGAAGTTCCATTTTAGCCTCTAGACTGACCTGTCTTCTGGAAAAAGAACACTAATGGGACAATGTAGATACTCTTGCAGTTAGATTCCAGACTGACCTCTTTTATCCATCTCTCTTCTAGAAGCAAATATAAATCAGTGTTTTCAGGATCCCATGGCAGAAACACTGACTTTTCACAAGCAAAGTAGAAGACTCCATTGCAGTGACAGGTTCAGAGCTGCCTTTGCTCAAGAAACATGCCAGTGAAGAGTTGTATAAGTTGAAGAGGAAGAAAGGTGAAGATGCAAGGGTATTTAATAAATCCATAGTACTTCACATCTAGACGCTGATGAGGGATCTCGTTGTCTCCAGATACCAGACATTTAAAGGAAGCAGGTCTGCAAAGTAGTGGATCTGGAGTGCCTCACAGAGGCAGTCACTCACTTCCATTTAAAAGGAAAAAACCCAGTTTATCCAGCTTGTTTTGGGTGCCTTAAGCTCTCCAGTTTACCTCTCTCTTCTAGTCTAACTTAGGAAACTAAGGCAGGAGAACTGAAGTGACTTAAGCTAAAATCTCCTTAAGGTAAGCTGACTCAATGAAACCAGAGCAACAGAGAATGCTAAATGTTTTACCCATTTATTAGCAGGGATTTTGTTGTTCTTATTTTTTTTTTCTGGTACTGGAATGTGAACTTAGGGCATCCTACTTGCTTGTCTAGTTCTCTACCACTTAAAATAGGCTCTACTACTTGCGCTATGCCGGCAGCCCTTATTAACTCTTTAGAAATAATCTGAGGACATTCTATGTGAGCATCTGGACCCTACAGCAGGAGCACTGGTGCCTGTGTTCCCAGTGGCTCTACCTTTGAGCCGGCTACCTAGCCTCTCTGTGTTTCAGGTCCCTCATCTCAACAGCTTGAACAAAGATAGGGATGATAGTACTAGTAGCTTTACAATCTGGTGGTGAGGCCAAAATGAATTGATAGATGTAAAGTGCTTAGACCAGAGACCAACCCACCAGCATTATCACTCTGATTTGCTGATGAGGAGGTTGCTGCTTAGAGGTCAAAGTCACAGCTTTACTGGTGGTCAAATGCACATGCCTGCAGCCGT